TAGTAAGACAATTTTTCTGAACTTCCCCAAAAGAGAATAACCCTTGTGAAAACCAATAGCTCTCTCTATGTGATCCCTTTCAAAATTCGTTGAAATGAAAGACAAACTGTGCATGAGTATGAATTACAATGTATCTGTAGAACTGTGATCTCTGCTCTATTTCATTTAAGAAGAACTTCTATCTTGATACTGAATTGACCTCAATCACTACAAGTGGCTTATTCAAGTTTGTTCTACTTCTCCCTGTCCTACAGATGTAAGATGGATTTAGTTGGAGGAACTACTGGCTGATAACAAAATAAAAAAAATAGCTAATAACAAATCAAAAAGTCATATTTTACAAGTTGAGCTTATCTTTATTCCATTAATTTTTGAAAATAAGTTTTTATTAGGCTGGGCATGGTGGATCATGCCTTTATTCCCAGCCCTTTGGGAGGCCCAGTGGGGGAGTGGATCACCTGAGGTCAGGAGTTCGAGACCAGCCTGGCCAACATACAGAAATCTGGTCTCTACTAAAAATACAAAAGTTAGCCAGGTGTGGGGATGCGTGCCTGTTGAGGCAGGAGAATAGCTTGAACCTGGAAGTTGGAGGTTGCAGTGGGACCATGGGCAACAGAGCAAGACTGTTTCAAAAAAAAGTTTTTAGCAATCATGCTATATTTTTTTATTGTCAAGAAATTCTTTAATATTGAAGAAATACCGTCAACATTCATATGAGGAAAAAGGAACCTAATTCACATGCTTTTTTGGGAGAAATTTACCCTGCATTTGCATAGTGAGAGTTTTATTAGGAGAAGTTGGAAAAAGCCATCCCAAAAGATCCTTAAATTCTAAATTTTACCCAGTTAATGATGGAGAAGTAAGACTAAACAGATGAGACAGCAAGAGGTGACATAAACAATTGGACAGATAAAGGCAATCATAAATCCAGGGACATCTACAATGACAGAAATGAGAAGACTCAGGCTATGTATCTCTATTTTCCCTGCCCTCTGGCAGGAATCTTCTCTCATGTACATTGTATGTTACTGGCCTAAACTTTTAAGAAACTTATGTTCTCGGCCAGGTGTGGTGGCTCACGCCTGTAATCCCAACACTTTGGGAGGCTGAGGTGGGAAGATCACCTGGGGTCAGGAGATCAAGACCAGCCTGGCCAACATGGCGAAACCAGGCGTCGTGGTGGGCACCTGTAATCCCAGCTACTTGGGAGGCTGAGGCCAGAGAATCGCTTGAACCCTGGAGGCGGAGGTCGCAGTGAGCTGAGATCGCGCCATTGCACTCCAGTCTGGGCGACAAAAGTAGAACTCCGTCTCAAGAAAATAAACAAACAAACAAAAAAAACTTATATTCTCCCTTTTTCATTAGTTTTCTGTGTATTAACAATTTCTATTCAACTAGTAATTCCAATTAATTAAACATACTCAAATTTCTTTCATCTTAATTTTTTGTCTCGATTCCTCACCTTCCTCTAGTTATCATCTTACCTCTTTTTATAGTTTCACATTAAAACTTCAAGGAGTTGTATAAACATATTATCTTGATTTTTTTTTCTCTAATTGGGCTTCTTCTATCCTGATATACTGAAGTCTTCAGGTCGTGGAATCATGTGGGCAGTCCAGTGGACTGGAGCATTTGATAAGCTTTGCCATTGCCTTCCATGACACTCTACTCCTTTTTTGGCTGTTAGTTCCTACTTACTCCTTGTCAGACTCTTTAATGATTTCAACTTCCAGTATACAGTCATTAAATGTTAGCTCCTCAAGAGTCACTCGAGGCAGTTTTTTCTACTATATACTCTCATCCATTCCCATGGTTTCAATTATCATCTACACAGTGATGACTCATAAATTCATATTTTCCATCCAGATCCCTTCTCTGACCTTTACTTCAATATATTCAATTGAAAATTCCACTTTGTGTTTCAGAGACATCTTAATCTCAGCATGCTCAAGCTTAAACCCAGGATCTTCTCAATCTAACCTGCTCTTCTTGCATTGTTTATTATTATCTCAGTGTCTGATAAAATCTGCTATCCAGTTGCACATAAGAAATGAGTATCAGTTTTTGACCACTCTATTTTTACTCCTAGTATTTAATAAGTCACAATTTTGCTCCTAATTATGTCACTTTATCTCTGACACTAGTCTAGTCCAAGTCACCATCATATCTTACTTGGATATACAGTAACCATCTAACTGGTTCCTGCAATTATTCCTTAATATAGCCGCAAGGCCAGACAGCATTTGCAAACTGTCTACCTTTCAAACTTCATCTTCCATTACTAAGCCACCCTCTTCTGCTTCTCTGTTCAAAACACACTGTTCTTTGGGGTCTCTGAATCTGAATATGCCATGTTTTTTTCTAGCATAGGGTTTTGTTTTACTGATCGATTGATTGATTGAGTCTTGCTCTGTTCTCCAGGCTGGAGTGCAGTGGCAGGATCTCGGCTCACTGCAACCTCCACCTCCTGGGTTCAAGCGATTCTCCCGCCTCAGCCTCCTGAGTAGCTGGGATTATAGGCATGTGCCACCATGCCTGGCTAATTTTTTTGTGTTTTTAGTAGAGATGGGGTTTCACCATGTTGGCCAGGCTGGTCTCGAACTCCTGACCTCAGGTGACCCAGCCGCCTCCCAAAGGGTTTTTTCACATACTCTTCCCTCTGCCTGAAACTCATAACCACTGCTTTGCCTGTTTTTGTTTTACCAAGTTTACTTCTATTCATTGTTAAAGCTCTTTGGTCTCTCTAGCACAGGCTAGGTTACTTTTTTAACTTGTTCTTCCTGCATCATGTTTCTTCCATTTACAACATATCTCAAATTATTCCTTCATTAGTGTGTCTACTTGTCAATCACCCTCACTAAACTGTATACACATAAGAATTTGGATTTTTTCTGTTTAGGCTTACCATTGAATTCTAGTAGTTTAGTATAGCGCTACAAATAGAGTAAGAAACATTTGTTAAATGAATATATGAAACTAAATATAGAATAAAACAAGGAAAACCACAAAAATGAGATGCAAATATTAAGGCATTGAGAGCATGCTTAGCAGATGAGCACTCAAAAGTTTTACATGAATGATATATAATATGTAATATGTAGTCCTAGGGTCAGCCTATTGTCACTTTGAGCTCTTGTAGGCAATTGCCTATAACACAAAGCAGATTTGCATTTTTACATTCATAGTAATGTAATATCTCCTTTTTACTTAAGTTTTGATAAAATTAAACACTTGGAAAGTCCTTTTCAGTTTTACTGGAAGCATCAATATTTATTTTACAGATTATTTTTTTCCTGAGGCTATCTCAGAATCTGAGTGGTTTGAGGACTGCTCTGTTAGGTTACAACTTAAAAGTAAAGAAGAAAATCATTTCTCTAAGAACTTGACCTCGAATAGCAATTATTTCATGTATAACTGAAAGTGCTATTGTTTGTATAAATTGTTGATATTGTATAAAATGATGATCTTATTAATAGAAACACCTTTTAAAGAGTTTTCTGTTATTTAGCTTCTCATCTGGTTCTTTTTAGTGATCAACAGCAAACACTTATAACAGAAATGGTTGAAATATTTGTTGATCTGAAGGAGTTTGTTTTGTCTGTATAGAACTCGGCATTCCAAAGGGTATATCTAATTTACAAATGATAATTTCATTAGCTTAGTAATTTCATTGCCTTCTTGTTATAATCAAATGAATTGCCCAGCCCAGACACCCTCATTTCTTCATTCATTCAGACATTTACTGAGTATCTCCTATTTGTCAGATGTCCTATTAAGTGCATTAAAAATGAGTAAGAAACCATCCCTGCCTGTAAGAAGCTTCATTTTCATATTGGTGTCAATTTTGTTGATGTTATTTTCAGACTGATGCAGTTTCTGAGAAAGTTTATTTAATTTATATAACCTTCATAGGTTAGCCAAGAGTCCTGCTGATCAGACTAACTTACCTAATTGTCATTTTAAAGACGAACTCAGTCACAGAATATTTTTCAATGACATAGAGTAACTTTGGAGACCATTATTACTAGATGAAAAATTTGAGCTGTACTGATGAAAAGTTTTAAATTCTTAGTTGTTACGTGTCAGTTTTGTTTAGTAATGCCCCTGAGATGAGACCATCATTTAGCAATTTCTCTTTTCTGATATTTTGTAATTTTGAAGCATAAATGAATTCAAAGACTGCTTTCCAAAAATTTGTATAATCCAGAAAGACATTTCCATTTAGTATTCTGTTTGGTCTTTGTTTTCTACTGAGTTTTCTTTTTTTGTGCAGTCAAGGGCTCCCATTAACCAATTTCTAGCAGCTGTACTCCATAGATATTTTGTTGAACAATTAAACTGGATGTTAGTTTTAATTGAACAACTTGATGCGTTAATTTATTTGCTTGTACCATAATATTTTCAAATAAAATTGATTTACTCTGTGTGCAATTTGATTGCCATAGGATAGTATTAAATTATGGCTTAGTTCAATTTGTAGTTCATTTCACCAAACTGTAAAAATAAACAAGTAAAACAAAAGCAAAAATTAAAAGGTAAACAAAACAATTTTCAGATGAACTTTTAAAATTCATTTCGTTTTTGGGTGGCGATTACACATGTAAATAACATTTAAAAAATAGAGTTCAGGCCAGGCACGGTGGCTCATGCCTGTAATCCCAGGACTTTGGGAGGCCTAGGAGGATGAATCACGAGGTCAGGAGTTCGAGACCAGCCTGGCCAGCATGGTGAAACCCTATCTCTACTAAAACGGTGAAACCCTATCTCTACTAAAACAAACAACAACAAAAGTATCCAGGCAAAGTGGTGTACACCTGTAGTCCCAACTACTTGGGGAGGCTGAGGCAGGAGAACCGCTTGAACCTGGGAGGTGGAGGTTGCAGTGAGCTGAGATCACACCACTGCACTCCAGACTGGGTGACAGAGCAAGACTCCATCTCAAAACAAACAAACAAACAAAAGTTCAGCACAAAAGAACTACTGTGGAGTACAGTACTTACCGTACTGTGATAGGGGTGAATGCATTTGTGTTAATGCTGTAGTTAGCAGAAACAGTCAAAATATTTTGAGAATTTCCACATCCATATTTAACTGATGGCTTTCCTTCCACAAGAAATAAATGAAGAAACTGCTTTCCAAAATTATTCCCATTACCTTTAAGAAAAAACAATATATTAGTAATTGATGTAGATTTATATTTTGTTGATTAGTGATAATTAAACACAATATTTGCTATCAAAGACTAATTTACTGGGTTTGTAGGAGTGCTATGAGATAATTATTCACTGTAGTAAGTACCATATTAGAAACATATATTATTGTCCACAGGCTGACAGATAGCATGGTATTAACAGCATTAACTTGACATGAGTTTTAACTTCTGATTCTGTTACCTAGTAGCTAGATGTCCTTAACTGTTTTAAACCTGTTTCCCCATATGTTAAAATGGGGTAGTGAAAGTAACTACTCTGAGTATTAGAACTCCTGTGATAATTAAATAAAATAATAAATGAAAAGTGCCATGTTGAGTTTTTAATAACTTGCATTATTATTATTGAATCTGTTTAAATTTTATTTTTGATTTCTAATTTCTTCTTATACTTATTTGTATTTTAATTACAAAACAATATGCATTTTCTATAAAATTCAAAATAATAGATAAATATATAGAGAAAAAAAAATTTCTTTTCCCCTAATCTCATTATTCATCCCCACTTTGAAATGTTCTTTTCTACCACCTATCTCCCTACATACAAATATTTACATATCCCAATTTCCAGGGACATCTGTCCCTGGAAGCCCATGGATCTCTCTTTTTAACTTTCCTAATTGAAGTATAACTTATATAGAAAAATCGCAGAAATTATAAGCATAAAGCTCAGTAAGTAATCACAAAGTGAACCCACTCACCTAAACATCACCCAAGTTAAGGAAAAGATCATTATCTGCATTGTCAGAAGTCCTACCAATCACTATTGTTTTCTACTCTTCATCAAAAGTAACCACTATCTTGATATTTAACAACTACAGTTTTACTTGATTTTAATCTTCATATTAGTGGAGTCATATTGTATGGATTCTTTGTCTAAAGTAGTCCTCCCTTTATGACAGTCCCAAAACAAGTAATTATAGTACAATAAAATATCTTGAGAGACCATATTCACATAATTTTTATTACAGGATATAGTTATAATCGTTCTATTATGTGTTGATATTAATGTCCTACTGTTACTAATTTACAGATTAAACTTTATCATTGGCATGGATGTATAGGAAAAAATCATAATATTGATAGGGTTCAGTACTATCCACAGTTTCCGGTGGATCTTGGAATGTATCCCTTGCAATTAACGAGGGACTACTGCATTTGTTTCGGCTCAATGTTATGTTTGAGAGAGAGCATTATGCCACAGTTAATGCATTATCATTATTTTGTAATATTCCATTAAATTAATGTTTAAAATTCATTTACTGTTTCTAGTGTAGATAGACATTTTCCCCCTAGGTTTTGGTTACTGTGAATAATGCTGCTATGACCATTTTATATATGTCTTTCAGTTAAATTGCATACATTTGCTGTGTATATATCTAGGAGTTGAATAGCTCTGTAAGAAACTATAAATAGGATTAACTTTAGTAACTATTGCCAGTTTTCCAAAATAATTGTTTATATTTAACACTTTACCAGCAGCGTACAAGAATTCCAGCTGATCCATAGCCTTATCACTTGGTGTGGTCACTTTGTAGATTTTACCTATTCTGATTATTGTAACTTTAACTTTACTTTCTTGATATTGGTGAAGTTGAACATATCCTCATGTTGACTGACTATTTTGATATACTCTTGGGAAATGTCACTCTGTGTTTCTTGCTCCTATTTATATTTAGTTGTTTGTTTTCTTCTTATTGAATACAAGTTCTTTGTCAACTATATAGGTTGTAAATGTTTTCTTCAGTGTTGCAGATTGACTTGCCAATCTCAAGGGTGAGTTTTGATGAGTGTATATTCTTAATTTTTGTGTACATTTATGTATTGTTTCCTTCAGAGTTATGATTAGTACTTTCATGTCATGTTTAAGATTTCTTTGCCTTCCCCAAAGTCATAAAGTTATTCTACATTAGCTTCTGTAAGGTTTACTTCAGTTCTGCCTAGAATAAATTTTTCTGTGTAATGTAAAGTATGGAGTTGTGATAAGCTGAATTATCATGCCCAGGGACACCCGTGTACTAATTGGTGGAATCTGTGAGTGTTATCTGATACTGCCAAAGAGACTTTGCAGATGTGATTAAATTAAGGAGCTTGAAATGGAGAGATTATCCTATATTATCTCTGTGGGCCTTAAAAGTAGACACAAGTGTCCTTATAAAAGGGAGGAAGAGGGAGACTGGATGGCAGATGAGGAGAAGGCCGTGTGACTACAGAAACAGACTGGAGTGATGTAGCCACAAGCCACAGAATGACGACAGCCACCAGAAGATGGAAGAGGCAAGGAATGGGTTTTCTGGAACCTCCAGAGGGAACCAGTCCTGCTGACAGCTTGACTTTAGCCCCATAAGACTCATTTCAGACTTCTGACCTCCAGAACTGTAAGAGAATAAGTTTCTATTGTTTTAGTGGTAACTTGGCATAGCAGCAATACAAAATAGTGCAGGAGTCATTTTTTAATTTTCCATTTTGATTTCTAATTGATCCAAAATCATCAAAGTAAATCTTATGATGTAAATATTGAATTTTCAGATATTTGTGGAATATATATATTTTACTACTTTTGAGTTTCCCCATTCCCTACTTTTCTTCTATTGTTTTTATCAGTATATATATGTGTGTGTGTGTGTGTGTGTGTATATATCAGTATATGTATTTTATGATAATGACATTGTTTTTGTACTCAAGCAATAGAAACATGGACCAATAAGTGTCTTAAATCTCTCCAAAATTACAACCTTCAGAAATGACCAGCATTAATATTCAGTGAACATCTATAGATACAAAGATTGACATAGGGATAGATATGTAGAATTTCTTAAAATAGCAGGATCACACTATAAAGTATTTAAAAAAGAAAATTATATGAAATGAGCAGTTCTCAAACCCTTTGATCTAAGGAGCCCTTTACACACTTAAAATCTAGTGAAAACTCTAAAGAGCTTTTGTTTACATGGTTCGCATCTTTTGATTTACTGAATTACCATTTAAAACCATGAAAATTGTCAAATATTTATTAATTTAAAAATCCGATTACATGTTAACCTAAATAATATATTTTGTGAAAGGTAATTATATTTTTTCAAATAAGAAACAGAATTATTCTATACTTTCACAAATATCTTTATTTTGAACCTTAATAGGAGACAGCTGAATTATTATATCTACTTCTGTATTCAATCTGTTGTGATTTGTTTCTTTGGCTGAAGTACAGGAAGTTCAGCCTCACACAAAATGTAGTTGGAAGAGGAGGAACATTTTAATAACTTTTTCAAATACATACAAACTGGACAAATGACAGTTCCTTAAAGTTTAGTTGCAGTGTGGAATTTAAAAGTATTAATGAACTTCACATACTTTGTTACATTAAAATGTCATTAGTCTTTCTTGCACTTTGAATGTTTTACTCATTCATAATTTTATAACATCACTAATTGATCATTTGAAAAATATTGGTTCAGAGTTGTACAGAGTTCTCAGATATGACACATTTATTGTATAATAAGTCAAATTCATTAATATTACCACTAAGATAATCAGAACATGTTAGAAAGTTCTCAAGTTCGTTATGGGGAATGTAGATTTTTCCAAAATTCTAATTTTTCTTTGACAGCTTGAGTTTTGTCATTGGCAAATATACTATTAGCTGTTTTCCTTAAGATAATAGGCTTACTTGATTACTTTTTCAGAAAATAGCTGCCAAATAGTCATGTTTGAATAACTACACATTATCTGCTAGTCATTTTTTGAGTGTTTTCATAGTGTCCAGAAAAACTGGCAACTTGTCTCAAGGCAACTATTGTTCTTTAGTATATAGCCAGCTTTCTTAATGTGCACTTCCAATTCTACACACAGAATATTAAAATTTGTATACTGAAGTGTTGAGATTGAACAGGATTAATGAATTTTATTGCATCTCTAAGGACAATTTTTAAGCGTCCATTTTGAGTGGACAGTGGAAAAGAATACAATGACTGCTGGTACGATTTGGTGCTGCTGCCTTAATATTAAGGTGTTAATAGTTTTATTGTGACTTTTACACCATCAGTGAAAATGCCAACACAGTGATTTTGACCTTGTGGATGCTTGAAAGTCTCGTGGATCCCTCAGGAGTCTATGGATACACTCGGAGTATCCCTGTGTTAGAGCTTACCTCCGCTTAAGAGGAAAAACCAGAAGCCGGAATGAAACTAGACTTACTGCTCAACATTAATAAGTGTTTCTTTAACAATTCAGCAAGAATGTGTAGAAACCTGGGTTATCTGTTCCCCCTACCTCAGGCTCTAGAAGAGTGGATTAAAAGCAACAGTCAGGTCTCAAAGAAGGGTTCGGAGAAAGGTGTCTGGAAAAATTATGAAAGACTTTGAAATGAGAAAATAATTTAATATTTAGCTTACTCATCCTGATTCTCTGAACCTTTCTTTGTCTCTGAGCTATTTCCCAACACTGTAAGTTGCAGAAAACTAATAATTCAAATGATTCCTGACAATATAAATGCATACTAATTTTCTGATGAAGTGAAATTGATTATTACCCCATGGGGAGACCTATTTTTGATCTACTTATAAATTTACTTCAGAATTCCTTAGTTTTTATACATGTTTCTGCCCCCTGAATTATTTCTTGAACTTACTGTAATATCTCACTAGTTACTACATAAAATAATAAGTAAATAAAATCTTTGACATGTGTTGATTTTATATACCCTTTAAAAATTATTTAATAAAGAAAAATCAACTAATTCTAATTTTTGATGTTACAACACATATAAGGGGGAATGATTTGTATTATATCAAAACAAAACCAAAACCAACTCCAATGAGTAAAATTTGCATAAAAACAGTGCAAATGGGGTCTTTGATACTAGGGAACATTGTATTCTCGCACTGGACAAAGATGCCCACACTGAGGATGACAAAGTTGGGGAAGGAAGGAAGAATTCAAAACA